ATTAGGGTTCCCATGGGTAGGGTCCCCCCACTACAGTTAGGGTTCCTATGGGTAGGGTTCCGGCCTAGGGCTAGGGTTCCTAGGGGTAGGGTACTTGGATTTAGGGTAACGGTCACTACAGGTACCATTCCATTTAACCCTTATAGGTAGGGCACCCTATTATAAACACATCTGGGTTTGGTCTCCAAGCTCTCCCCTTTCGATGTGCAATAGCTGGCCCAGAGCAAGGTGGCTGTCCCCTTTAAATCACAATCACACCATCAGAAGACAGGTTGGATCTCTCCAGAAAGTTCAACCAGCAGCAAGCTGGTGGCTGGAAGAGAACGGTGCAGTTGCCATGGCAATGCTGCCTTTTCAGAGAAATAGAACTGCTCCTTTGCTAAACCTCATTCCTATGCGGGGGGAGGGGTGTGTGCTCTGGCCCCAGAAATGGACCTGGGTTCTACCATTCCTGTCGGACCCTGAACTGGGCTAATAGTTGAGAATAAGAATTGTCCGCATGGCTCTGTGGAAGCTCAGTTTGCTGCAGCACCCTGCCAACTGCTCTCCTCAGAGGGCTGGGAAGGGGAGAGTTTGTCTTCATTTGTAAACCTTTCACATGTTTCCTTCTGGTTCAGCCTCTCTCCTGTCACCCACAGCTTCAGCACTAGCCATTTCTGCATTCAGCTGCCACCCTCCCCACCTCCTCCCAGTTTAACCTGTTGATTTCTCTTTCCCGTCTCTCTCCAGACCTAGGTCTATCACCTTCTCTATGACCCTGCTCTCCATTCATGGCCCACAGCACCGGATGCCAAAGAGAAACCCCTAGGTTACAAGAAGCAAAGAGCGTGGGCAGTGACCGACAATAGCCAGCAAAAGAGAAACGGGTCAAGAGTGTTAGACCTGATTCTCCTCTCACTCCCACCACTGTGTACATCTGGAGTAACTCCATCGCAGACACTGGTGTTTCACTAATGTAAAAGGGTAAGATCAAAATTAAGCCCTATGTGCCTTGCCTATAGGACTCTGCATGCCACAGCATGTCTGGAAATCCAGCCTCCCTGTTAGGGCAGGTCTACACTTAAAACACTGCTTCTGCCATCGGGGTAGTTAATCCACCTCCGCGAGAGGCGGTAGTTATGTGGAAGGGAAAAGCTCTCCCGCCAACATAGCACTGTCTACACCGGGGCTTAGGTTGCTATAACTATGTCACTCAGGGCTTAGGTGGATTTTTCACACTCCTGATTGACACAGTTATACCAATATAAGTCTACAGTGTAAACCTGGCCTTAGCAATATAATGTTGGAGCTGGTCCAGAGCTTTCAGAGTCCCCAGATTTCTTACTATTCTGGGTAGGCTGAGCGAGGGCCGTAGTCTGTACAGAGGGGCTTGATCTGTGGCCACCTCAGGCAGGGAGAGGCCCTGGTCATGTGGAAGGAGAGAGCCCAGGCAGTGGATTATACGAGCAAAAGGGACTCTCCTCTGATTCTCATAGACTCATAGACTCATAGACTC